CCGGTAGTATTTTATTTTTTATTTTTTTTACAAATGGAAATGATCTGAAATTTGGAGCATGTGTACATCTTAGTGAGGTGCATCTAATAAAAATATAAAAAAGTAATTCGTGAAAAAAAATTTGATCAAAATACCCCTAAAACTTTTCAGGGGTATTTTGATCAATTTATTTCATGTAAAATATTTTTTTGATATTTTTCGTAGATTCCCCTATTTTTTATGAACACACGTTCCAAATTTTAGATCATTCCGATTTATAGAAAAAAAATAAAAAATAAAACACTACCGGACAATCGTGACCATGCGATGAACTTTAGACGGTCATGAGAGTAAGCAAAATCACTGCTCATTTTCACCTATAGACGTTTTGTAGTATCTTCATATATATATTATTCTTTAAAATTTTATTATTTTTTCATGCACACATTTTCTCCCTCTTTTTCTTCTGGATAATAAATATATTACATATTATATTCACAATTGTTATTACAAATTTTAAGAAGTGAATTGTAACATAATATAATATAACTAAAATTTTAATAAATTAAATATAAGTAATAATAACTTATTTTTATTAGAATATGCTATTTATGATTTTTCCTTGATTCTCGTAAGTCCAAGTAGGATTTTTATACATATACATATTGTCATAATAATTAAAAAATTAAAAATTGGTAATAAAAATTTATTTTTGTTAGATTATTATAATTATAACTAAATTTTGTACCCAAATTGAATTAAAAAAAAAAAAACTTGCTATCGTGAAAGGAAGAAAAATAAATAATATCAACTTTATTATTAATTTTGATTGTGATAAACATATAATTATTACAAGTTTCTCTGCTGTGCTGTAAACAAAGTCTTTCATTTTTTTTAATTTATGAATTTAAATTTTATTAATAAATAATATAAATTTAATATTTGATAGTATTTAATAGAAATTATATTAGTTATCATAAATAAAATGTATTAATAATATTTTTTTAATAAGCGACATAACACCAAATTTATAAATACAATTATATTCATATTTTGAAGTTTAACATGTTAAGGAAATTACAATTAGATTGAAAGAAAAACTAATATTTTATATTTTTTTATATTTTCTCAATTTTTCCAGTTTAAAAGTTAATAACTAAATATTCAAATTATTAATCAAAAATGAAAAAATAAGAAAAATAAGAAAAATAAATATAATAAACTAAAAATACAAATCATAGAGGTAAAAATATATAGTTGAAATCATAGATGGGTGTGGTTTGTATTAGGAGTCAACCTTAAACAATGAAGGTCAAGCATGCTTCCAAATTGTGTCAAAAAATGTAATTTTGAGACACACGACCTTATTTGATATCCTATAATTGTTTTTCAGCCCTACTTATGAATTTTAAAGCTAAAAAAACGATACAGATCAAGTAGATTTATAAACACTTGAAAGTGGATGGCCAAGTGGCCAACATATTTGCAAGATGCACTATTTTCAGAACTTGAAGTCAATTTTTTTTTATATCCATATATCTCAAGGTTTATCCATATATCTTGATGTTCACATGATCATTTGGAGGGTTTCACAATCTTGAAACAATTATATAGCTTATAACTAAAATAATAAAAGAAAAATAGAATTCATTTTCTATTTTCCTTAAAATTTTCTATATTTTTATATTTTCAAAATTTATTTTTCCCAATTACAAAAATCCAATTTAATTTTTAAAAAATAGTACGAAAGACATTACTTTTTTCTTTTGCATTCAACTTTTATTGTGCACCAAATATATTTCTTACATTTCTTTTTAATTGAAATAATAGTTTATTAATATGAATTATATTTATGATAATTAATGTAATTTTGCTGCTATATGTAGAGGTGGAACCATCATACTCTCTCTCTCTTGTCTCTAATCTGATAGGCCTTTTGAAAATTTATTTCAAAATTAAAAAATATATTTTAATAATTAATGATTTATATCACGTGCAATGCAAATTAGTCTACAAGTTTCTTATATGGTTCTAATATTGGAAAAGTACTTGGTGAGTTGGCCAACTCTGCATCAACTTTGGATTTTGAGGTATTTAAATTGTAAAGCTTAAAAGACATTCCCAACTATTGTAAATCCATTTCTGCCTTAGATATAATTTGAGGTATTTAAATTGTAAAGTTTAAAAGACATTCCCAGCTATTGTAAATCCATTTCTGTCTTAGATATATGAATTTGAGCTCTAAAAACAATTAGTTTTTAGTAACGAGAATGATAAGTGAAAACCAACAATGCAAAATAAACTAATTTTAAGGTTCAAATTTTGCTTTGTATATTTTTTTCCTAATCATTGAGGTCCTGATGATAGACCTGTAAAATTTTGGATCCCCACACCTATTAACATCTTACATATAGGGTGATTTTGTGCTGATCTTGTTTTATTTAGAGTCCAAATAATCTTAAATTCTTAATTTAGGAGCACATTGGACCACAAATTCTATATTTCTATAGGTGCAGTTTTGTTAAGAATTTCTGCCCCAAATGCATATGCTAGAATATGAGGTAGTTAAACCTCTTAAATGGCCTTTCTTTAGGAGGCAAAACTTCCATAACTGTTATTGTAGGGTGTGTTTGACACATAGAGTTTTTGGGAGTGGAAAGGACTCTCCCACAAATTATGGAACATATCATTTTTTATGGAAGAGAGGTCTTCCAAAAGTGAACCCATTTTAACACTAAATCGAAGATCGCCCTTCTACTTTACAGCTTCCACACAACAAATATCAAACATGAAAGTGGAATATTTAACTCCCACTTCCAGAAACTTCCACTTACCAAACACACATGTAGTGTTTATAGCATGTTTGGATGAATCAATGTGCTCACTGATATTTTGCTCAGATGTGAAAAGATTGTGTTATGTAGCCAAATGAGCATTTCATTAAAAGAAAAACAATGAAAGTTTTTTAGTTTTTTAATCAGTTGAGTCATTTGATCTATCATACATTGGAATAAGAAAAAAGAATGGCCTGGCCTGGATACTGGCTAGGCCAGGGAACAAAATAACTTTTCAGGCGATTTCTTTTGCTTTTGAAAATCTCTGTTTCGAGTTTCAAAATTCATTTGAATCTAGACATATTATTCGTAGCCAGAAGGGTTTGAGTCAATCTCCAAGGCAAAACTGTTGGATCATTTCAAGCATCAAACATTGTCCTTACTTTACATGTATTAGTTCTAATGGTCTTTTCTTTTTCTTTTCTCTCTTTCTTTTTTTTTTAATGTTTAGTCCTAATGATCTTTGTGGAATCTCTTCCATAGCTTTTGAAATACCACTTATATTTAGAAATCTCTCCCATTGCTTTTTGAAATACCCCTTACATGTGGGAATCTCTACCATTGTTTTTTGAAAGATCACTTATATAGGAATCGGGGCAAGTCAAAAGATTTATATGCACCTTGGGGAGCATATTGTCCATTCACTTTTTAAGGTAAAACCTTCTGTAGATTTGGACAGTCAGATCTGGTAATTATAATGTTGATCCAAAAATTTTAAGTAAAAAAAAAAAAATACACCTAGCTCTTTTGCATGAGGGAGTAAATAATTGAGTATGCTCTGGGAAGAGTCCACTATGCATGTCCTAGAGGAAAGTGACTATGGTCAAGCTTCAGTGTTGAAATGCCATGTACTTTGTTGTGGACAAAGTAGACACTACAATTCTCCTCACAAACTTCCTACATTGGCCCCAAGAAACCATGAATAGCACATTTTGAATCAGAGACCATTTTTGACGACAAGAGTTTTGGTGGGTCGGCTCTCGCGCCTAAAATCCATCTTAGATGTGGAGTTTGAACCTGAATTTCACTGGCTGATAACCTGGACTGCTGCATTATAAATCTAAATAGGTTTCGAAACTTAGAAATACACTATTTTAAACTTTATTTTTAGATCGTTCATTTTAATTCTTCGTAGATCATTGGATATGCGCAATTTCTTGAGCTACAAAACCATGGACATAAAGTGGAAATGTATCTAAATCCATCTCTAGAATGGATTTTTGGATGCAGACTTCACCTGAAAAGGACCTATTTGAACTTTCTTCATTTTTGAGGCAGTTAATGCTTGAGAAGACTCCTCAATGGTATCCAATGGATACCTCACCAGTGACACTAAACTGTGATGGATGTCTAGGGAAAAGAGTGCCTGAAAGTTCCTTCAATTAACATGGTAGTATCTTGCTGCAAATAAGAGTTCCAAGCTCGATCTCGACCCCTACACTTGGGCAGATCGAATATCGACTCAACCCATTTTCTTTCAAATCGTGGGAAAACTCAGCATAGTTTTCCAAATTCAAAACTGGCGTCTTCAATGAAACTCAAATTCGAGACTGAATATAGAAGAGAAGCATGTTCTACAGCTAGAACCGCAATTGACTTGTGCACCATTTCCAGCACATTTAGTTTAAACATTTAAAACTTGGCTCAAATTCTGAGTTTTTTTATAAAGAGGAAATTATCAAATTATCGATAAGAGATGATCAATTTAACACTTAAACCATGTATTTTGATTTTAAATAAACATTAAAAAACACATGGTCTTTGAGCTGAAACCATTGTCAATAGATAAGTCGTCGAATAATACATTTTGAGTAAAGGAAAAAGTTTATATAGAGCCGAGGCTCTAAACAATCAAATTAGAGCACACGCCAAAAATTTCACTAAAAGAGATTGATTTGATGCTCAAATATCTTCAATTTGATCATCTCGACATCGATGCATGGACACGAGTAAAAAATAGATTTCAAGTTTTGGAAATAGTGTATTTTGTAATGCATTTTTGGACCTTCAATTTTCTGCTTGATCTACCTTATTTTTTAAGCTTAAAATTTTATAACTAAAAGTGAAAAATATATTTTAAAGCTATTACAAAAACTATATTTCTAAACACTATTTAAAGGTGCTCTTTATTTTGATTGTTTAGAGGCTCGATACAAACCGCTCCCTTTGACAAAGTTCCCTTGAGTCGCTCAGTGTGCCAAAATGAGTTTTGTTGACCGCTCGTTGAAAATCCTTTATACTTTATATATATATATATATGCACTCCAAACCCCATTCATCGCTCCATTTTCTTCAAGCTCTAGCCGCGCCCAAGCCTACTGAGTTGCAGGTACATTTCTCTCCCTTTGGAGCTTTTCTCTGATCTAGGGTTTTCGTTCCATCTCCCCTTTGAGGCTTCTCTCTCTGATCTAGGGTTTTCTCTCCATCTCCCCTTAGGGGTTTCTCTCTCTGTTCTAGGTCTCTCTCTCCTTCTCTCCGTCTCCCATACCTTCGTATTTCAAAATATACCCACAAACCATCTGATCCACACCTAATCTCCTAGGCATTCTAACCAAATATCGCCAGCAGTGACGTCAAATTTCCTGAGAGGCATCCGAGCATGCCTTCCTTCGAAGCCTAATCCCAACAGGTAATTATTGTTGGCTATTTTCATATTATTATTATTTTTGGTACAATTTATTGTTAGATCTTGAGCTTTTCTTTTTAATTTCCCTTGCAGTGGTTTATGTTATTCTTGGTATTCTAGAAGATTTTTATTCTTATGATTCATTCGGAGTTATTGTGTAATATAGTTTGGTTAGGCAATTTGATTTTTTGTATAGATTGTTTATTGTGGTGTTTCTCCTGCCTGTGTATGTTTTGCACACGCTTCTAATCCAAATGCAAAGAACTTCAAAGGGAAGTCCTTTGAATACTGGAAGGAATGGAGCATAACTGTTGGCAATGATTTGGCATTTCAATGGAATTTTGTGATAAAAAAGAACTTAGTGATAGTTTATAGGCAAGCACACCATTTTATTAGAATGACAAATTTTTTGCATAACAGGTCTTGGCATGAGTGGGAAATTGGGGACGTCATTCATTTTTCACATATTAGTAACTGGTGGTGATGACAGTATTCTCTCTTTGGAAAATAGTGTTGCCATTCACCTATTAACATTAGTAAGTGGTGGTGATGACAATATTCTCTCTTTGGAAAATAGTGAGGCGATTCACCTATTAACAAAATAATTATAGGGAGAAAGAGGGATAAAATTAACCCATGTGGATATTGCCTTAAATATTAGAAAACAAAGTAATTTTAAATGATATTTTATCCTAAAAAGGAAAAAAAAGTTATAAAAAAACCACATTACTATAGATAAAATTAACTTAAGATTTCCTAGCCAAAATGTCGGTAATGCATTTTCCAGATTTCTTCCGGACATAGCCAAACAATAGCATTGTGTTTCCCAGGTTGCATCTAATTGCTACCCAAATAGTAACATTCCATTTGCAGTATTATACCAGTAATGTATTACGCCAGTCATATATTTCCCAAGCAGTATATTTCCAAGTACCCAAATGAAGTGTTGGTGAGTGGATTTGGATGGTAATCTTAATACATAGGCTTAGTAAAAGAACATGTGAAAAAGCTGAAGTACAGTTACAGGTAAGAAAAAAGAAGTTACAGGTTGAATTCAGTGAAAAAAGTGTTTGAGGACCTATCCTCCTCCTTGGTCAAATATTGGGGTTGATATTGACCTTGAGTTCTAGGGGAGCCAAGAGATGAAGGTGTGGCCAAGAAAAGTGTATTATGGTTGCAATAACATGTAGGTCACTTTAAATAAGTGTTTAGAAAATTGCCAAGTCGACCCGAGACTTAGCCAATTAAGTTGGATGAGGAGCGAGCCATGCGATTCCAACTGAAAAACCTGAAATGGCCAGAGTCCCTCTTTTTTCATGATTTTTAGAGTTTCTTTATTAAAATTGGCCTGGTTAGACGTGCTTGAGTCGGACTTAGGGGGCTCAAGCCCTGGCCCTTTGCAAGTCAGAACCTGAGTCGGGCCTTTTAAACACCACTTTAAATTAGTGTTTTCCTGGTTGTGTCTGTTACAAAAGCTTGCTTGGAGCAAGAAATCTCCCACATGGTAAATTTTTTGATGTAATTCTCAAGCTGACATCATGCTGTTGCTCTTAGATAGGATGACTTTCTCACCAAACTTAGGTTTAATAAGATGGGATGAATTGCCCACAAAAGCAACTTGATGTGGCCAAAATGGTGTTTGTTGGTGTATCGATTTGGCTGTTATCAAGTGGTAACATTATGAGTAGACTAGGGGAACATAATGTCAAGATGTGAACGGTAATATTATGAGTAGACTAGGGGAACAAAATGTCAAGATGTGAATGGAAACTTCTTAAAGGACAAAGGTACATGGTGAACAATTGAACTAACGATGGGACAAAATGGAGCACACTCTTTGCTTATGTTCTAAAATTTTTACTTTTTATTTATTTATTTATTTATTTTTAACAAGGTTACATAGGAATGGATCTTGAGACGTAGCACTATGAAAACCCAGCTGCTAAATGTTATTTTCAGCTAGAAGTGTACCCATGGAGTTGTTTTTTTGAAATTTTTTTCTTTTTATGGCTGAATGGATCTTTGAATGGTCACTGAATGCTGATAATAGTTTATGGATCTTATAATAATGGTGAAATTTTTCTGCTACAATGGAATTTTTTTTGCAATCTCCACCTCCCATTTGGTTAGACTAATTGCGAATGAGCTAAGAAATTGAAATCTCATTCTTTTAAAATTGTTATACTCTCATCGATGGATACTATAATAACGATTAAAACTGAATGCTTTCCGGTTGTCCAGGTTTGCAAAATCCCAGGTTGAACCAAACACTGTTCTAGAAATTTCTAGACAGGTTATCTTTACCAGATATCCAAATTCTCAGCATTCAAATCTCAAAAGTAGAAATTCCAGCTTCCATTTCCAACTTCTAGTTGTCAAACACGCCCTAAAAGTTTCAAGATATCTTTGTATGATTTTTTCTTGTTCTATATTGTTCTTGGGTCCTGAAGCCACTTGTCGAGCGGTTTTTTATTTGAGGGAGCTTCCTTATATACTCTTGCAGTAGCATATTAAAATACAGAGGTGTATATGCTCCCACCGGAGCATAGTATACCTGCTCTCTGCTTTGTCTTTTGACCTAACCCTCTCTCTTTCTCCTTTGAGTTCAAAGGAAAGACTTCCCCTCATTTCATTTCACACAAACCGCTTGCCTGCATTCACCTCTCTCTCTCTCTCTCTTTCTCTCTCTCTCTGTCATCTCTACTCTCTCTCTTACTCTACTACTCTCTCTCTTCTACTACTACTCTCTCTCTACTCTCTCTCTCTCTCTCTCTAGCCCCACCCCCCCCCCCTCACCCCCCACAACCCCCCTGCCATTTTGTCACACCCCAAGAATTTACAATACTGATATTCCTGAGATGTGACAGTCAAAACATGTATACATTGCTGGATAGGACAAATTTACAATGACGAATTCTTACAAGGTAACAAAAGAAAGTTTAAGCACAACTACAATATCTTCCAGAGTTGATCTTGACGAGCACTCAAAATGAAACCGCAGTTATCTTGAAAAAAAATGTTTACCATAATTTGATGAGTTTGGCTACTCAGTAAGTGATCATCATAATCCTAAAAATAATCATGGTTGCAAGTTATCAATATTTCAAAAAGGAGGTCTACTAACAGAAATGCATTAACAATTTCACTTTAAAAAATGCATAATTAAGTATAATCCGAAAAATAGAAATGCATATAACATTTTAACTGCAGTGCATAATTCAAAGGATTTCACAAATTACCCTTCTGGCGTCCCAAGTAGGTCACCTATATACCGCATCAGCGTCCTGATGGGTCCACCTAATCCCTATCGACGTCCCAGATAGGTCCACTTAATCTCTATCGGCGTCCCAAATAGGTCCACTTAATCCCTGCAGGTTCACTTATACCTCACCGGCGTACCGGATGAGTCCACTTAATTCCTACCGGCGTATCGGATAAGTTCACTTATACCTCACCGGCGAACCGGATGAGTCCACTTGTATACTTAAAGTATTTCTAAATCTCTTTAAACATTCGAAAGCAGCAATATCATGTACTCAACATATCACTGGAATTATTAATATGAATTCCACTGAAACCATTAATAACAATCATTTTCAATAACACTTAAAAAATAACCAGTCAAATATTTTGGCTCAAATTTAGAAAGGTAGCAGTTCGTAAAAACATTCTAGCATAATTGTCAATCTAACATGTATAGAAAAACTCTTATAGAAATTCAAGAATACGGAATTATCACAATTTATGGGATGTCAATTCGCAAATAAACATTTCACAGACAATGCTATAATCAATTGCAAAAATATCAATTTTCAAATAATAAGGCAGTCATTTGCACATGAAATTTATAATGTCTAAATATTCAAAAACAGTAGAAAGAAATCTCACAATTTTACTAAAAGCAGAAATATCACATTTATTTCTAATAATTTTACAGTATTTAAAATTTTCTAACAATAGACAAGAAAAATAAATAAATTTATTCTTCTAAGAATTTATAGCATTTAAAATTTCTAACATAGATAAAATATCACAATTTTTATAAAAAGATTATTTTTTAAAACAATGAGGTCGCTTGCACATAAAATTTATCACACCTAAAATTCATGATAATAAGCAAAAGTAATTATTTCATTTTATTTTTAAAAAGAATGGATTATTTTTTGAGACAATGAGGTCACTTACCTATATGTCCTCCTGAGATGAGAGAGATTAAAATACTCGTTTGATTTTAAGTCAATCGTAGACTCTTTATTGTCTCAACTCACTGAGGCCGGGAAGCATCTTGTCCATTACCCACTCTAAGGTCATTGGAATAACCTTTCAAATTTTTACCAGATAGGCATTCATCCAAAAAAAAGAGTTCAGCCTAAGAGACTTCAAGACATGGAAATTGCAGCATCATATTTCTTTGATGAAGGTGGTCTTGAATGGAGATATAAAGCTCGTGGCCAAGTGAACAAAACTATCTAGAGAGAGAGAGAACAAAACTAGGTAGAGAGAGAGACTGTTACATTGAGGATTTTTCTCAGTTCTACTACACTACCTACCAAGAAGCTTGTCAATATCCTTTGAAGTGTTAGGCTTTAAAATCCTTTGAAGCCTCTACTTGGAAACGAAGAGAGAGAGAGATTGTCGAATAAAGTAAAAACACCTAAGATGCAAGGTGTTGTACAAGGAGTGTTAACATAAAGTTTTAAGATGGTGGACCTAAGGTCCACCCAAATAAAATTGAACCCTCAAGTATATTAACAATAATATCGTTTATTTATTGTTAATATAAAATTTGCAATATCTTAACGGTATAAAATTATTATTATTATTATTATCATTACTAATATCTAAGTATTATTTTATTTATTTATTTTGTATTTATTTCTGTTAACACCATTAATATTTTTATTATTGTTATTATTATTATTATTATTTTTGTTCCAAAAGTTTTAGGTCGTCACACATTTTTATATCTTTCTCTCAGAATGAACTCCATCAGGCGCTTGTCCACTATCTTCAAACCCACAAACCTCCTACTCCAATCCCCAAATCCTCTCTGTACAACCCCATTTTCCAGCCCCTGCAAAAGCCTGCATGTTTCCCCTCAATCTGCATTCTCAAGCTCCATCAGGAATAGCCCTTTCTCTGATAAAAATGGCATTTTATCCACACCCCATTTGAGCTTCAGTGCCCATCAATGGAGGGGCATTCGTGTCCAGGTGTTCAATGGAAATCTAGAGCGGGCCCTTATTGTGATGCAGAGAAAGATGGTAGCTAGTGGAATGGAGAGGCTTATTCGTAGAGTTCAGACCCACCATTTGAAGAACTCAGAGAAACGAGTTTTAGCTAAAAAGAATTTGGAAAGGAGGATACGATCTGAGGATTTGGCAAGAAAATTACAGTCTATTCTCATCAAGAAAGTCAGGTAATTTTTGTGGGTTTTCTATTCATTTTGCTATTGAGTTTTGTTTCTTAGTCAAGACTGCCTGTTGTTTCTTATGGTTATTCTTTTAATCTTGTTATGACGTTAATCTTGTTATTGAACAATGGGTGTTCACCACATGGTATTGTGTGGTGGTTGATTATTATTATTTTTCTCATATTTTCTCTTCTCTGATTTTATGTACTCGAGAAACCTTCATTAATTTCCTTTTTTTTTTAAAGATGTTATTATTGAGTTTGAGTTTGTTCCATTGATATCGGTAATTACATTTATCTGTCAGTGATTGTTAGATCACCACTTTATATTTTCCCAGTTGTTCAGGATTTCATTTAGCACCACTTTATATTTTCCCAGTTGTTCAGGATTTCATTTAGCTTATTGATCAAATTTGTATGATAACTACCTAGGCAAACAAGTTGAATTGTATGATTAGTGCCTTCCTCTCTATTCCTGGTATTTTTGTTTTATTTTTCCTTGCTGATTCCATTGATGATTCGGTATTTTGGGTCACTCTTCTTCTTTATTATGGAATAAGAATGGTACACAATAATATTTCTCTTGAGATTCAAACTTCAATTATTAATATTATGCATGTTATGCGTGATTGATTCTTAATTCGTGGATGATAATAGTCATTTCATTTACTTCTTTACAGATGAAGCTACATGCTATTCTTCACTTTTTTGGACTTTGCTGTTCAATAGTTATTTTATTTACTCCAGAAATTGGATTATGGAAATTTATAGAAATAAAGATGATTTTCTCTTGTGAATGGATTACTGTAAGGAATTTGGGAATGCTTTTTGTGTTTTCTCATATTGAAAATTTAGACTTCTGTTTAGTTTTAAAAATAAATAAATTAGACGTCTGTAAATAAATGAATGCTTAGTTAGACTTTTTCTTTACCATTAATGATTAAAAAGAAGAGCTTAGATTTCTTATAGATATTGGTTACTTATTGTTCAACCACATGGGTTCCACTAGTTATCTAAGACAATCAATGGTTTCATTGGTGGTTGGCTGTTATGCTTATATTTGGCCAGGAAATGTAAAGCCCTTGAACTATAGATATTCTTACCAACTTGCAATGAATGAGAGCATCTCATAAAAGAAGTAATGGACTTAGCTCCCAAATCTGTTCTGAATATTTGATTCATCAATACTCTAAAATTTGAGTGAAAGAAAACTCGATAAGTAAAGAAGATTGCAATTGTTGCGTAGATGGTATCTATGTAGGCCGCCCTTCATGTCTAAGTACTTCCTAAAATATCAATAGGCAGTTTACAAAAATATGGTCCGAAGACTTTAAAGAAATGATGCTTCTTACGTGATTTTACTTCATGGTCTTTCTTCCTTGAATTTGAGTCTTTTGGGATTTGAATATTATGCGTTGACACGTGATATGGATCTTAAAATTCTTGGCTCTGGTCTTTTCTTCTGTGAATTTGAGTCTTTAGGGATTTAATATTATGCATTGACACGTGATATGGATCTTAAAACTCTTGGCTATTCTCTAGTAGAATAATAGCTACGTGATCTGGAGTCCTTACCACACTATGCAATTCATGGCTGATGAATTTGAAAACTGAATGAAAGTAATTCCTTCTATGTGTGCAAGTGCAGAACTTTAGTTACACATAGGATTAAGATTAAACTCCCAATCTTAATTGAAAGTACACTTCCAGAGATGTGAGTCTCACATCCCTTGGGATGGAAAAAGACACTCCTCTTGAGTCTGTCATAACAAATGAGCACAAAAGGATGAATTGCTGTAAATTCATGTTAAAAGTACCCAAGATGAATGGCAAGGTAAGGCAGGATTGTGATAAGAGGTATCATTTTTGTAAACACCCAAGTTCCCCATCTACTTGTAGTGATGGGACTTCCATTGGTTACTTCTACTTTTCCATCAATTCAAGGATATCCTCCCTTCAATCCTTATGATTATCCTCCACTCTATCTTTAAACTTTGTCAATTCCATTCAAGTACTAAAACGCTTATATATGATGCACAGATCCATCTATTAATATGGCAATATCAACTTTTGTGATTTAATATGTATTCTACAAGTCATGGCATCAATTCATCAATCCTGATTTAGAGACATATGTAGTTCCTCCATACTCGGTGGTCCTGATGACCTGTTGGTTTAGTAATGTTTTGTGGGGCTAACTGCAGGAGGTAAGAAATTGTTGAGGTGCTCCAGGTTGTGTGTGAATTGCCTTCAATACCATCCACCTTTATGTATAAGAAGCATGGGGAAATTATATCTTTGACAAGTGTTACATGTTCCTTTGATTTTTTGGGCAAGAATGCGTTTGCAATTATCTAATAAAGAAACAAGAGAATACATATGTAGATCTTTCTTTATGTAGATCCGGTTTAACTTAAAAACATTGCTTTGTGAAAAAAAGATATTTAGCGTTGGGTGCCACTTTTATGTGTGCTTAATGTTGTGTTTATTTGTGACCCTAAATAAGGTAGGAAAACCAGAGAAAAACACCAAAAAAAAAAAAACCAACTCCAATTTGTTAAAGAAAATATATTGTACTTATAAATTTGGGGGGTTTGTTGCATTCCCAAGTCTAGCATAGAGCTGAACTGGTCCTCTTAGACACCAGTTTATTTGGTTACAGGGGATGACTGCACTTGCATTAGAATCTCCGATCAACAACTTGGATGGAGGATTGACCACCAAGGTCTCCCGCCAGGAATATGCCCCCACTGTAGGAAAAATCGAACCGGAACGGTTAACTGGATATGGGGATGGCAGTGGTTCAACTGCCCTAACCGGTAGACCAGTTGGTTCAACTGGCCTAATCGGACAAGTCCCGGGCGGTCAAAGAAGTGTTAAAAAAATGCAAAAAAAAAAATCCAATATATTATGAAAAGTATATTTAAAGCATGATTAAACAAAGCACATCCAAATGAAGTTGAAAATTAATGAAAAAAATGGATTTTAAAGGATCAGCCCAGGGGAATTTTTGAAATTTTCCAAAAAAGATGGGAAAATGTAAAAATAAGTATTAATGGCCAAATTTCCAAAATGATGAAAATCATTAAAAAATGCGTTACAAAAAAAATTCATTATTTTTTGAGATTTTATATAATTTTTTTTTGAATTCTTTTTAAAATATCTGGCTGGTTCACCAAAGCAGCCAAAACTGGAACCGGCCATTCCGATCTAATCATGCGGTCACAAATTGAGTGGCCCGATTTTTCCTACATTGTATGGCCCCGTCTTGCTCAATTTCACTGGAGGAAGCAGAGTTCCTCATTGCGAGGCCAAACGGCTTCCTGATGAAAGATTATATCCACTAGAAATTTTTTTTTGGAGTCTAGTTTCTAGCTATTTGTGCTAGGATTTTTGGACTAACTTGAGGTTTGGGTTTTGGAAAATTTTTTTTGAGTAATTTGGGAACTTTTGTTGATTTTGGAATTTCTTTGGCTGGGTAGTTTGGTACTTTGATTTGTTTTTTACACTAGGGTTAGGGTAGGAGGGTTTCAACCTTGGGTCTCTCTCTTGTAGTTCCTCTCAGTACGTCTCCCAAGTCTCTAAGCTTTATATCTCTTCCTAACTTTCGAACCCCTTTACAAATGAGGGTTAAGGGGTTTTTATAGAACACCTTTGAAACACAGTGGATGCTCACTTTTGAGGCTGATAGGAGTCCCAAATGTTTCTCAAAGGGTAAGTTCGTTACGCCCAAAGTTGAGAAAATATCATATTTTCTTGATTTTGCTCCATAATCTTGTAAAATTCTTTGGTCAATTTACAATAATTTGAATAAAAAACTAAGATTTGAGGGAGGGAGTTTTAATCGCTTTTGTGTATTTAGAGCCAAACTTGATGACCTTTCATGCTTGTCTTCAATTTCTTCTCATTTATTCATTTATTTGCCCCAATTTAATGATTAAACTCCACAAAGTTGTAAGAAATCAACTTTGGAAAATTTGAGAACAAATTTGGGTAAAAAAATCCAAGAATTAAAGGAGTTATGATCAATTTATTGACAAATTTTCAAGGTTTAGCTATCTCAATTTTTAGTCATTTTTCAAGCTTCAATTTTTTAGTCATTTACAAGCTTCACTAGAGTTCCAAAAATCACACATGCGCACAAAAGGGGCACACACAAATATTACCGCCTTCTAGTTCCCCTTGCCAAGCTGAATTTCTTCAATATAAGCAAATATTGCGATGGCAGTTAATCGCATGGTAGTGCTTGGATTGAGGTATAAAGAAGTTCAGAAGGTAAACAAAGGCTTGAATTGCATATGATTGTGGATTTGTGGATTTGAATTCTTAGATTACATGCTTGGATGGCTACTTGTGGGATTTGTGGACAAGTTAGAAGGAAGCTTCATCTTTTCTGGCTCCTTTTCTATCTTGGTCAAGTTTGTAAAGGAGTATCTTGCTGTTATAGAGCATTAGGGCAGGCCAGCCTCTTCCCCGATTGATGATTAAGATTATGTGTTGACCTATCGTGAAGGTAGGTTGGTAGAGGATCTTCATGGTGCTGGTGTTAGGATCTCCACCATACCTTAAGCTGTTCCAACATACTTTAATATTCAATGACATTTATGAACCCCACTAGGGAACCTAACGCCCATCCTCGATGCAATGTCTTAGTTTAGACTAGATCATCATCATCATCATTATAGCCTTTTACCAATTAATTGGGATCGGCTACGCGAACCTTGGTTTGCCATTCTGCTCTATTAAAGGCCATACCCTCAGTGAGGCCATAGTTCTTCATATCTTCCGAAATACTTCCAACCACGTTCTTTTGGGCCTACCCCTTGCCCTTTTAAGTCCTTTCACATGAACTAACCCGCATTTCCTAATAGGTGCTGTACTTGGTCGGCGCCACATATGGCCAGCCCACCTAAGTTTACTCTCTCTCATCTTATTACCTAGTTTAGACTAGATAATAGATCAAATTTTTATGATGGGACTTGAGTCCTTATTAGTTTTATTAGATGCCTTTACGCATTGTTTTTTTTTTTTTTGAGAATGTTAACCTTATGCCTTTACACATTGTTTAGTTCACTAGTTGGAGTGTCTCACGAGCTCATTTCTGGGACTGTTGTTTCGCATTGGCAAGTCCCATAGTGAGTAATTTGGTACCATTGATTGAGAGATCCAAAGCCATAAAAAGAGATAATCAAGCGTGCGCTAGCCGATTGATGGCCATGAAATTAGCATTTACTCTTTATAGATGGCTATATTGCTTTCAATGTTTAAGAATATGGAAGGCACCACCTAGGTGAGTCCCATAGTAATTATTTGGGACTATTGATGAGGGATCCAAAGCCATAAAAAGGGAATCAAGAGTGCACCAGGAGATTGGTGGCCATGAAATTAACATTTACTCTTTATAGATGGCTATATTACTTTCAATGTTTAAGAATATGGAAGGCACCACCTACGTGGCTAGGGGCGCCTAGACGGGCTTTCCATGATTGGGATGCCCCAAAGATAGAGGGCAGAAAAGAGTGGTGGGAGCATGATGTTATATATATATATATATATATATATATATATATATATAG